CAAGATCTGGTTTATCTAAATATCCCGTCTTATTTCAAGAAATCTTACCAGGCAAATGTTCTCTTGTTCTATTGGCAGATGTATGTACCTATTTAAAGTGAAAACAGCTTGTTTTCATTATTGTTTAACTTGTTTTTGGAGCAGCATTTTTTCCAGTGAGTGCCCTTGCTTCCTTTGTCTTTCCTCCTCCTCCATCCTGTTTCTGATCACCCCTGGTCATGTCCTGCCTCTCACCTCTTCTTTCTTCACTCATGTCATCACTAGCTTTTTATTAGCAACCCCCCACTTTAAATGTTCTTTTAGTCTTTATTATTTACCTACTTTTATATTGTTTTATTGATTTTATAGGTTTTAATCTTTGCATTTTTATTTTTATTTCTGTTGTACCTATATGTTCACTCGCATCGACTCAGTTGTCTTGTGTCTTACCTGTCAGAGAGAAACCATTATTTATTGTATTGTTATTATCATACCTTTGACCTCCTTGTGTCTATCAACCTGTTAAAATGTTATATTTACCTCCTTGTGTCTATCAACCTGTTAAAATGTTATATTTACCTCCTTGTGTCTATCAACCTGTTAAAATGTTATATTTACCTCCTTGTGTCTATCAACCTGTTAAAATGTTATATTTACCTCCTTGTGTCTATCAACCTGTTAAAATGTTATATTTTGTTGCATGTACCTTTTAAAGTTCTTAACAAATAATATAAGGGGAATTTCTTGTTGTTTGTTATTAACTTGTGATGTGTCATTTTGTAAAGCACTTTGAGCTGCATGTGTTTAATTATTGCTTTATTAGGGTCTGAGACCTAGGTCGGCGAGAGCAAAATGAAGAGATCTATGGATACCTCTCTCAACACCCATATGAAGCAGAACTGTAAACAGATGTACTTTTTCTTTATGGATATTTTACTAATCACTCCCCTTTTAAACTCTATTCTTGTTTTACTGCCATATAGTATTTCATAACTGTTTTTCCTTTATTCTCTTATTTTTTTTATAACTATAATGATCATATGAAGGTGTGCCGCGGAAATAATCTTTTGAATAATTTGTGACCAAACCGTTTGAGACCCACTGAGATAACTTAGACTAAAGTTATGTATCTAAACACTCAGAGAGTCCTTTAGCTCACCTGAGTCTCTCAGTCTGAGAGGAGAGGACTCTCTTCCAGCTTCTTGTGGAAACAGCTCCTTATGTCCGTTAGTGCAGCTAGCTAACCAGATGCTAACAACACGGTCCATGCTGGCACCGGTCCCTCCCTCCCCCTCTCTCCCTTGCCCCTTTTCACTCCAGCTCCTGCTCGGAGCTGGAGCTGGAAAAGCGCCGGTTTTTCCTGTTCACACCGCAGCGGCGGCGCGTCATAGTTCCGGAATGCGGTTCACTTCCAGCTCCAAAAAATTGTCGGTCCAGAGGCAAGAGCTTCGGAGCTATGACGCGGCGTCTCTTACGTCGAGGCGTGCAGGAAACCTTACTTTGACCATCCGTTCGCTGTTATTGATCATTGTGGAGAGCAGGCAGACGTTTTGTTTGTTATTATAGCAGCTATCGGATGGAATTGATACATGGGCTGTACAGGTTGTCATGTCCGACTATCACAAGTAGAATCATAATGAAAAATACGCCGGTAAAATGTGCCTGTAGAAAACGGCTTAGCAAGTAGTCAGTTTAGCTTCGGTTGCTATGCTAACATCACCCATGTTATACCAGAGAAACTTTCATAACAGCGGTGTGATGCCAAACAGCGTCAATTCAGACTGACACACATTCACTTAAGGGGAACTGGGGATATGTATGAGCTGCTTGTGTGACAGTCAGACAGTGAATACTTTAGAGCCGTGTGAGCTAACCCGGAGCTAACGGGAGAATAAACTCCCGTGGAAGAGCAGCCAGCACTGCAGCGGTCGGTAAATGCCGCTGAAACACATTAATAAACAATGAACCACGGCACTCTGGAGAAAAGTATAAGGTTGGAGAAGTCGTTATTTAATTTAATCTGGCTTCGTATGATTAAAAGCAACACGATCATCGACCCGACGCAGTCCCCGGCCCGTTGTTGTTGTGGGGAGAAAATCAGCGACGTAAACTGTGACGTCAGCAGCGGCAGCTCTGGGCGGTGTGAACAGAGCGGGAGCTGAAAAGGGAAACCGGAGCTGAACCAGAAAAGCTCTCGCTAGGAGCTAGAAAGGGAAAAGCGCTGGTGTGAAAGCCGCACCTCTCTCTCTCTCTCTCTCACACTAAATGCGCTATTGCCACACACACAGAGAGCCGAGCTTGAATGACACAAGCACACGTTTATTTCCATGCAACTCTCTGATTGGTCTGGTGTCATGCCTCTGTTGCATTCACTGAACACGGGAAATTACAGTGCTGCCTTCCTCTCTTGTGTCATGATGAGGTTCACGTAAAGCACGGTTAATGTATTATATTATTGAGGGAGAATTGTCCGGGGCTAGAAAAAAAACATTCGGGGCTAAAGCCCCGGATGCCCAGGCCAGGCGACGCCACTGGTCTTAAGTCAATGGAAAATGATCCAAACTGCACCAGACTTCAGATGATGGCTACTAGTCCGGCCCTCAACACCTCAATATGACAATAGTGAGTTTTCCTCTAAAGCTGTTGCCATGGCAACGCATCCCTCGCCGTTAAGCATGATATTGCTATAACTCCTGTGTAAATGGTAAAAAAGTGTTCAAACTTTACATGTGTGCTAACGGTACAGCCCTAAAGACATATATGTGTCAGTTTTGAGATTTCGTCAAATGCCGTTGCCATGGTAACAAAATGGTCGCCGTGAAACACGGTTTTCTCATAACTCCAGTTAACATGGTCCAAACGGCCCAGAACTTCACAGGTTTGATAACGATGCAGCCCTCAACATATCTAGGCATATTATGGGGTGTCATCAAATGCCGTTGCCATGGCGACAGATCACTCGCCATCAAACACAATGTTTATGATACTGCTGTAAATCCCATGTACGTTGTATGATCGGCCTGAAACTTTCCACGTTTGCCAACGTTCGAGTCCTCGAGACACCTAGACACACACCTCGACGTGCGGACAACAGCCTGCGGAGCGTCGAAGACCCGCTCAACGCTGCTTGCAGCTTTAATTATTATTATTATTATCATCTCTCTGCTCTACACCTCCACTGGCTTGATGCTGCCATGACGTTGATTTCTGCTGCCTCCAATTACCGCTGTGAGTCAGAAAGCGCTGGACGACGCTTCAAAACAAACCGAGGTCCCGTCCTTAAAGCTACCCCCCCCCCCTCTCTGTCCTCTGGTGAATTATGGGTGACTCATATCTCCCCTCTTGTCCCGAAGCACAGGCACAGATGCACGAGATCCCTCAGCAAAAACACTTTTCAAAACAACAGTCACGACCAAAATGTGGTTCAGAGTGTGGTGTTGTTGACATCTGTTTTGTTTACCTTTGTAGGGTGCTTGAACCTCAAAGTACCTTCTAATAGAATAGAGTTTTGATTGTGTCAGTGTGTAAAATCTGGTTTAAACACATGTAATTACTTATTATTATTATCAGCATTATAATTTTTATTATTATTATTATTATTGACGAACACTTAGTCTGTGTTGTGATTTATTATGATTACTTTTCACTTCTGCTGGAAGACGTCCAAAGAGAGAAGCTGGAGAGGAGCTCACCGTGTTGTTATTGTTGTTATTGTGGAGAAATAAGAGCCACAAACACACACAGCTTCTCGTTTTACACCAACTCAAATCCTACTGAAACAGTAATGGCAGGCTGGGGGGGGGGGACGACGACAAGTATTCAGAATTCTTATTTTACTATAAATACAAAAATCACCAACACACTTACTTAGGATTAAGTTATGATTAATCCTACTAATCATATCAGCAACTATAATACATCATTATGTTTAGAGAAATTGCTGACAACAATGTTAAATGAGCATACATGCAGATTGTTATTAGAGCTGCATTAATTAAGATGTGTTGTAGCTGGTGAAGGTTCGATAGTTGTTGTGTTAGTTTAGTCCAGTGACTCCCAACCTGTGGGTCGAGCCCCCTCTAAAGCTCGGGACTTGATTAATGAGGTGAAAACAAAGGTCTGTTTCATATCATATCATGAACCTTTAAAGTTATCTGTAAACCGTTTGATAATCTGACCTCTTTAGGGATTAAGCTTTTAACTTATTTGAACTATCTAACAAGAATAAAGAGGACATGTTATGCTCGTTTTCAGGTTCATATGTAGTGTCTCTACTGGGACATGTCTCCATGCTTTAATGTTCAAAAAGCTCTTTATTTTTCTCATATTGCCTGTGCTGGAGAACCTCTTTTCACCCTCTGTCTGAAACCAGAGCCCAGTCCGCTCTGTTGTGATTGGTCAATAGCTTAGAGATGTCCCGCCCCTTAACCTATATAACGTACAATGGGTTGGAGCGCTAGCCAATAGAAGCGCAAGTATTACATATGTAACGGTGCGGGAGAGACCATTTACATGCACACACAACCTATATAACACACTACAGGAAAGGGAACCCCTAAAAGCACAATAGGGTCTCTTAAAGGGGAAATCACCACTACATTTGTTTCATTGGACTCTTCTTGCTTGACCTACATTGGTGTAATACATTGCTGTGAATAAAACAAATGGTCTCTCTAAAGCTTAAAGGTTAGACCCTCTGATTAAAGTCATCTCTAGTGTATAGAGACAAATTACTCTATTTAATGTTCTGTTTCATCAGTTTCTGCCCCTTTTGCCCTCTGACATTTCATCTGACATTATAGTGGTTTATCTCATCCGACAAAAATAAGTTCATTATGAAGTTCGGCTATGCAAATTTGTCAAAGACTTTTCCGGCGACCCCTGTGACTCCGTGAACTGTGGCTGGTATTAAGATTTTGGAAATGAAACTCATTCATGCCAGCTAAGAGGTTTATATCCGCACTGAACTGAACCCTAATGTAATCCCATATATGCAAAGCTCCTGAGGCTCATCCTCTCACCTCTTTTTACTTCCTTCTTGGTCCCTCTGCCTCCAGTCCAGACGGCTCTTACGATACAGCAGGTTCATGTCGCTGCGGGGTCGCTCCTCCTCGCAGCCAATCACAGCGCAGTGCAGCCGCTTGCTTCGCCTCTCTATGTCACGCAGGAAATGCTCGACTGCCACATCCTGGGCAGAGCCCGAGCTCATGGTATAGAAGAAGACCCGCGAGAGGGGAATGTATGTCAGAGGCAGCCTCCGCCAACTCACCTAAACAAGAAGAAACAAGGGCAACGTTTCAGCTCATTAATCATTTAGAAAAACATGTTTAACAGCTTCCCAACCTACTTGCAAGTTGACAAGTTTGACAGTGATTACTTTGTGATGTGGCGACGCACATTGAAACCCGAATAATCAAACCCAAATTACTAGGCAGAACTTTAGGGGAGTCATTGCTTATCATTCTCACCGTGTCATTTCGAACAACGCTGCCCATTACTCCAACTGGCAGCCTTCAGAGAAGAGACACGGTGATGCATGATGAAGGAGTTTGCCGTTTTGTTTACCCCAAACCTCTAGTGTATCACAAGAAGAACTATTTATACTTTCATTATCCAGTTATGAATATTTGAGTAAGCATGGTAACTCAGCTGCGGAGCGTCTCTGGCTGCAGGCCCTGGGATGGCCTAGCTAAGCCTGTCTGTATCCACACAGTAATGTGGTTTGTCATATGTAGCGCAGGCACAGCTTCCTACTCACGCTCCCCATGAGATGCTTGTTGTGGGGCAGATATCTGAGGACCAATGTTTTTATACTGGAGAATGTGAATGTGCAACTCAATTGGCTGAGAAAAGCACAGCTGTCAGCTGATGCATGTTCCCAGTGTTTTTCCATCACAAATAGCAACAGAGTTTAACGGGTTTCTTATACTGGTGTACAGTGGAGCATTATCTTCAGTGCTTCTGGCATCAGTTTGCTTTGAGTTACTGCATTGTTGGTGCTCAAACTGAAGCAGTCACTTTATATGAGATGCATTAAAGCAACATTATGTAACTGTTTTTTTATCTTAGAATAACAGCTTCAGAATCATTTTGATGCTACACAGACTTGTAAAAGGGGGAATGGTGTCTCTGTCAGTCGCACTTTGTGCCCCAGGCCCCTTTTTTTCTCCACTATGCAACTTGGGGGAGCGGGATGTAGGATACAATCTCCTGGGGAAAGTGTGTAAGGCTTGACGGCACTAAGTTGTTGTTGGTTTATTTTATGGAGAAAATGATTTGGTTTTCCCTCTAGTGTCCTCTGGCTGCTCTGCCTCGACTTCCTGACGGACAGAAAGCTTTACTTGTTGCTAAACCTCTAACTAAAGCTCACTGGAGGTAGTTTTGCTCTTAGTTTGAAATGTGGAAACCTCTTCATCAGCAGGCTATCTTAAAATTGACCGAATGACACATAGATTTCCGGTCTCGAGATCTCATACTGCAATATGTTCTGTAAAACACTATAAAACAAAATGATGTAATCTGCTTTAGACATTTTTAATTACAAGTTTTGCATTTCCCAACATGTTACAATGAAGCTTCATTTGAATCCAGTTTAACTTAACTTATTATATTATATTATATTTGTATTTCCTTGCACTATTTTATCTGTTTTATTGTGTTGCACTGTTGAAGGAGCCTGTGACCTAAGCTTTTCATTGTCATAACTACACTGTAGCTATGTACAAATGACAATAAAACCTTTGAATCTTGAATAAGCTCTGGATTTTGCTTTTATACTCTTTGACTAAAGATGCAAGCATCAGGAAAAAGGCAGAACAAACCCATGACAGTAACATTTTCCAGCAGTTTAATTCCAGTTCTCATTCTGTACACATTCAGGACCACTTAAAAAACACCTAGCATCTACTTCACCATATCCTTATTGTTAGGTAAAAAGCTCAACCATCTTCCCTATGAAGAGAATAATTGGCAGCATCAGGCTCCGTCACCTGGTCCAGGCAACATGTGGAGATGTGTATCTGTGTGTGATGCTTTAGTCACGGCCCAGTGTGTCATCCAGTGTGTCATCCAGTGTGTCAGCGTGCGACTGCTATTCTTGTAAACCTCAACCCTCACCACAACCTCGACCGATGCTGCTGCCATGCTTGCTGACTCGATGTTAATCAGGTTAGGGAACTGCGACTGTGGGTTGGGCTTTTGTTCACTTTGATTTGGGTTTTTGGGGATCTGGCAGCACTGCAATTGCCGCATTATGAGCTGAGGGTTGGTGTGCAATTAGCTTAAAGAACCAGAAGATATTCATCTGTTCATAATCAAACTGCAAGCATAGCATTTTACAGATTGACACAAGAAGAAGAATCAGGTAGGTTGACACGTATGAGGAATTTGACTTGGTGTCGTGGTGCATACGTAAGAAGTAAAACAAAAATGTAAAACACAGATAGAGAACTATTTTACGAAAACTATAATAACATTAAGAAATATTAAAAGAAAAAATAGATATATAGTCAAATATAGCACTATTTACATAGAAATAGAATGAAATAAAATTGAATAGAATATGGAATAAAATTCGGCAGTAATAAAAAAAGAAAACAGATATAGTGTACATTGTGTGCATTAATGTAATGCATAGAGTCTATGATGTGGCTGAGGTAAAGTGTCAGTTGGGGGGGGGGGGGGGAGGGGGCGCAGTTCACTCTTCTATAGGTTGGCTGTGATCAATTCCCTAGAGTCATTTTAAATCCAAAATAAATCCAGAGCGTTTAGAAAGTTGTTTCAGGAGCATCTGTAGGGTCAGGAGGCGCTTGGATTCCTCACATTAGACCCAGGAGGCAGATGGAGCCATGATTCATTTCTCCAGATCTGCATGCAACGCTGCAGACTCCTCACTCGTGCTCATACGCAAACAGATCACACATACACACTGAGAGCCGCCATACATGCTAAACACACACGTGGCCACAGGCTGTGATGCGGTAATTGCAAATGCTGCTGATTTGAGTGTGGATTAAGGATGGCAGAGAATTCAGATCATTATCGACAGAAGATTTAGAAATGCTAATTTGGGTGGAAGAAAGGGCAGAATTTAAATTATGCTGTTCAAGATTTTTTTGCTTTTACTGCATCTTCTGTCTTTACTCGTCTTTCACTGCCTCTGAGTTTCACACTTCAGGAACGCTCTGCCCTCCAGCCTCCTCTCAGAAACACTCCAGAGGTGGGAAGTAGTGGAGTACAAATGCTTTTCTGGTATCAGTACTTTACTCCACTACTTATTTTTCTGACGACTTTCTACTTTGACTTCTTACATTTTGAACACAAATACCTGAACTTTCTACTTCTTACATTTTGAACACAAATACCTGAACTTTCTACTTCTTACATTTTCCAAACAGGCTGGTTACTTTAGTTTGAATGTGTGTTTGGTGGCGTGATCATTATTATTTAGAGTCATTGCCTGCCTATTGATTTGAACACGATCCGTGTATCCATCATTTCCTGGTCTTCTCTAAAGAAGAGGGACCAATGAAAACGTTGTCATGTTGCCGTTGTTCAGCATGGAAACATTCATTAGCTAACAATGACATTATTGTTCTATTAATATAAAGGGAGGTCAGGTACTCTTTAAAACAGCTGGTAGTTATGGGTACTTTTTACTGAAGTACATTTCAAAGCCTCTTTACTTTTACTTGAGTAAAGAAGTTTAGTCAGTACTTCTACTTTTACCAGAGTATTTTTAAACACGAGTATCTGTACTTCTACCTGAGTAAAGGATGTGAGTACTTGTGCCTCTCTGAGAGTCACACACACAGCGCTGGCCTGGCACTGACAAAGGGGGCAATGCTTCCATGAAACATATTAATTACTTTGGGGTATATCATCTCTTTGTTATTTGCAGACATACACAAGATGCCAACCTGCCTCTTTTTTTAATTACAGAAAAAAGCATTCATGATATATTTGCCTTTGTAAAGCTGAAGTAATTAGATTGAAAGGGCCGATAGTACAGAACATCTTGTTTATTACAGACTTGATCTTCTCCTACACCCCGTTCTGGGATGTTTGTGTTTTCATCCCTCCAAGGCTGAATTATATTGCAAGCTAGCACAATTGAACTTTGTAACTTAGTATTGACAATAAACAGCTGCATCAGAGCTGGGGGAATCAGCTCTTGAAACACATTGAATGGAAAGATTGTGTTGATATTAAATTAAAATTGAGTAAATCAGTTAAGAGACTACATTTTGAATAAATTAAACATAGTGGAGGCACTAAGTGAGGCAGAAAGTAAAGTCAGGAAACAAGGACTTTCCATGTGCAAATATTTTTAAGTCTAATTTTATCAATAATATATGATCTGTAGATTTTAAAGAGGACATATTAAGCACATTTTCAGGTTCATATCAGTATGTAGTGTCTCTACTGTGACATGTTTTCATGCTTTAATGTTCAAAAATCTCTTTATTTTTCTCATACTGCCTGTGCTGCAGCACCTCTTTTCACCCTCTGTCTGAAACCAGAGCCCAGTCTGCTCTGATTGGTTAGCTGGCCGGCTCTGTTGTGCTTGGTCAACAGCTTAGAGATGTCCCGCCCCTTAGCCTATCACGCACAATGTGTTAGAGCACTAGCTAATAGAAGCGTGAGGGTTACATAGAGATGTAATTATGTAACAGAAGTAAACAAAGGAGTCCAATGGAGGCGTTGGGGGATGCCAATAAGAGAGAACTTTAGGATTTTAGCCTTTGCAGACCATTTACATGAAAAAAAAAAAAAAAAAAAGCACAATAGGGCCTCTTTAAAACACAAGATGCAGTTCACTGGGTTTATTTGGTATGATTCACCAGACACTCTGCTGCAGTTGAACCGGAGAAACAAACAGGGAAGAGAGATGAGGAGAGAGGAAGCAAGAGAGGAAGCAGGAGAGAGGAAGCAGGAGAAGAAGAAGAATGAGCAGCAGCAGCAGCAGGAGGAGAGATGGAGGCAGGAGGGGGGCCTGATGAAAAATGGGGGATGCCAATAAGTAGAGAGTCACTGAGGGATCAACCGAGCTGCAGATAAATATGAATAGGCGGAAAAAACATAAAAACCGTGAGACTGGAGTCTGATGGAAGAGAATATCGAGGACGGGAAGGTGAGTGTGGAGAGGACAGTAAAACAAACAGTGAAATCAGCCAGACTACTCGAATGGGGGAGGGAGGTGAAATCAAGCCTCTCACACTATAGTCGCTGTGTGCGG